AGGTCCTATAAAATGTATTGTATTTTCATGTAATTTAAAGGATCGAGTCCAGGACCGTCTTTTTAGATCCTAGGATCGGACTGGATTCGCAATTTAACATCCCTACCGGGAGCGGACCCGACGTACTTAATATCCCCGGTCAAAGCAATAGCAATAACGATGGTATTACAATAAATATATGCACAACATATAAGAATCCTGCATATGTACAAATTTTTAAATGGAAGTATCTATATATGGTAAATGATAATATATTTTCCCAGGCTTTATTGTATAAATTTAAGATTCACACATGCGTAATAACATATACCGGGTGTTTCAAAAGTCCCACTGCTGGTCCCTATTTTTTATATATGTATAGAGATTACGATGATCTTTATATATCAGATATAAAGATCATCGTAATCTCTATATGTATATAAAAATAGGGACCAGCAGTGGGACTTTTGAAACACTCTGTATAAACAAAAATTTAAAATACTATGCCTTCGCCCGTATAGAGATTGGAATCAGGTTGGTCAACTAATTAGTCATAGTCGACTAATCAGTCGACTAATTAGTCAATTAAAAATTTATGAACCGGTACTATGATAGCCGACACAATTCAAGGGGGCTCATCTAAAAAGTAAAATTATTGAGGGCAATATACAATGAAAATAAAGAATTGAAAAAAATCGTAAACTACGGGTTTGGTCGACCAAATTCGCGTTTCAATCAAATTCGTACTGGTATATTTTGATCTATCATCGATATCTTGTCATTATGATCGAATTTTGATGGTTTTGATCCATTCGAATCATTTTAAGATTGATTACTAGATTATGAAATATCAATGATAAATCAAAATATACGAATTTGATTGAAACACAAATTTGGTCGACCAAACCCATAAAATAAAAAGGGCATTAAATGCAGTTGTGTTAACGTGTATGAATATATGATTTTTTTAAAATTCATGAAAAAAAAGCGATTAACTGAAAATCAAATGTTTCATGCCAAATAAAATAAAAATACCTCCATTACACGGTTCAATTCTGAAGATATGAATTAGCCAAAGGTCCAAGATCGTAACCAGGCTATATATAATCCAGAAATGCACTTTTATCATAATAAAATCTTTAAAAAGCCACAATAAGCTTTTATGCTTCAGTACATACATATAGTGTAGTTTTCTTTCAATCTATTATTTTGTTACAAAGCATTTTCGAATTTTCACTGTAACGTCGACATGCCAGTTGCTAATATACGCATTACAAAGGGTTCAAAAACTCTTCATGGGTGGTACATCCACCCCATTTCATACGAAATGACAATCCAAGAGTTTTATGACGAAGTTATTATAGGTCAAATAATAGAAGAATTCAATGTGAAAATAGATTCTTCTGATATTGTAGAATATGTTGAAATAAGCAAATCCACAAACACGATTGCAATAAAAACAAACCTTAACTGTAATATTATAGAACTTATTAATAACTTCGGGATAAACATACATTATCATCTTAAAAGTGATCAAACATTACCTCCATTATCATTTCAAAATGGGCTCTCAATTATTATGAAGCATGCACAACGAGACCAATTATATTTACCTGTTTTTTCGCAGCCATCTAAACCAAACCGGAAACAAGTTTTGCAACAAGATATCGTTAATTGGATTAAAGATAATGGTAGTGGTTGGTCTTCTTCTTCATTTGCTAATTCGGAAGGAAAAAAATTCGTAATAAATCTTACAGAAGTGATTTGGTACATTGATATGCGTGATCACAATAAATTTAAAGAACGTAGTTACCATATCCCACCGATATTTATGCAATTTTTTGGACGTGCTAACCCTGAGTCATATAAGGAGGGACGAAAAAGATTTGATTTAAATGAACTTAACTTTCTTTACCAGTCTCTTGCGCATTATCTCGCAACACCATGGATGCTAACACCCAAATTCAAATGGCTTCTAGACGAGCTCGATAGTTTTGTCGTCTCGATTTCAGGTTATATTAGTTTTCTTCAGCAACAAAAAGAGACAAGTGCTGTAAATCATAGTTCGGAAGTTCCAGTGCGAAGCACTGAAGATGCTACGAGCATTAAAATTCATAATCGTAATACTTGGATCGTGCCAGTTAATAAAACAAAGTATTGTGATCTTGTAAATACACTAACTAACACACCATTATGGAAACCAATTGATATCGCAGAATATTTACCTACGGATCCTATGTAAGTAAATAAAAAAGTTGGTTGATTTAAAATTAAACAATATGTATATACTAAAAAAATAAATAAATAAATAAAAAAAAAATAAAAATAAATAAATAAATAAAAATAAATAAATTCATAAGGCAAAGGCTACGATATATCCAAGGGCTCGCCTACGCATTTCCATTCAAAGCTGGTGAATGTCGGCTTAACTCAGGCAACAATGCATTCAACACTGTCTCAGTTTGGAAAATTGATGATGATGCCAATGAGACCACCATATTGTGAAAAAACACGTCAATTATCAATAATTTACAAATCAATGCACCAAAGTATCACACAAGAGCAATGAGAATAAATTACTTAAGAACCTGCGATATGCTTTTGCCAAAGGTGAGGCCGGCGATGCTTCGATCGATTTACAAGATGTTAATGGGTGATATGTCTGCATCAGAGTCCCTAGATGAAAAGATAATAGATACACGTATTAGACTCGCTCTGGATCTTGGTGATCCTGAAATTTCTACTGATCTACGCGAGCACAATACTGGAAGACCCTCAAAATACGATGCTTTTTGGAAAGTTGCGGCACAATTCCTTGCAGAAAAAGCCGCAGATGCTGTAGTAGCTGCTGATGAGAGACGTCACGATACTGTTGTTCATCTTGCAACAGCAATATCAGTAAATGATTTGTTGCAACAGATCAAAAATGAATGCACACCAGATATAGTAACTCCAAGTGCACAATGGTTTCGACTCCAATTCTGGCCCAAAAATCCATCACAAATAAGTAGCTTTCAATATACAGGTCAGTGTTATCATTTAGACTACATCAAAATATTTTAAAAATTTGGACATAGTCCAAGTGCTATATGTTACAATATTAGGTATGTATCACCTTGTAGAAGTTTATTTCACAGATACCTTGCTTCACAAACAATCAATTCGTAGACAAGTTTATTTAAAGACAATTAATTTACACACAGTTCATTTCATAGACAGTTCATTTTATAGACATTTCATCTTGTAAACAATCTTTAACACTGAATTAGAAGTTATTTGCTATTAAAGATTGTCTATAAAATAAACTATCGACAAAATGAACTATCTATGAAATGAACTGTCTGTAAATCAACTATCTTTAAAATAAACTTGTCTATGAACTGATTGTCTGTGAAATAAACTTCTACGAAGTGATACGTACCCTATAGTATTCACGTCTATATCCTGTATACTGTGCTAAAATTGCAATGCTGTACAGGTCGTTTACCTTTGAAATATATGGTCCAAACACGTCAATTACGAGCCTATCACCAGGATGCGCATTATGCCTCTGCACTTTTCCGTTACGAAAAAAAATTCGCAGTTAAGTTTCGAAATCTTACTAACCTAGTCTTTCTTGATGATAAGCACCATTGTAAGGTTGGAGAGCCCAGTTTTCCTGTAGCTGCGGTAGAAAGAGGGAAACGAGTTGTTGTTAGCAAGGACAGTACGTTTGTGGTTGGTGACCACGACTACACCAAGACGGGAATAGTGCCAAGTGTAACTATGGTTTGTGAAATACCTGAATCGATTGACGGTGACTTTTATAATGGAAACGTGTATATTGGCCTGAAAGATCCGATTTTCCAGCCTTCTTCACCTATTCGTCATTCAACAGAGTTATACCATGTCCTTTTGAATGAATTTTTTAAGAATAAACCTATATTATGCCTATATACAGATGGTGGCCCCGATCATCGTTGTACATTTATGCGTGTCCAACTTTCGTATATCTGTTTATTCTTAGCTTTAGATCTTGACTATTTCGTAGCCGTTAGAACTCCTCCACAGCATTCTTGGAAAAATCCAGTCGAACGTATAATGTCAATTTTAAATTTAGGGTTACAATGTGTAGGTTTAATGCGAAACCAAATGGATGATCAGTCAGAGATGTTGATAAGTAAGGCCAACACTATGAGCGAAATACGAAAAATCGCTGAAAAAAACCCTACCTTGAAAACTTATTTAATTGAAAGTTTACAACAGCCAATTCGACTGATTCGTGATATTTTTGAACGTCAAAACTTGAAGGAAGTGCCATTTGAAACTTTTGATGCAGCAACCGATGAAGAAATAGAAAGTTTCTGGGAAACTATTTATATTATAGATAATAGTGTAACACAAGAAGATTGTACTATGGAACATATCAAAAAAAAGGTAATAAACATAATACTGTATAATAGCATTAATCGGAATAAAACAAAATAACATTTATTTACCTTTTATTAAGTTAAAATTAAAAGAATTCATGGATCACTGTTGTACCATGCGACACTATTTCTTTACAATAAAAAAATGTGGTAAAGTAGACTGCTATATTTGCCAGCCTTGTCATTGTACGCCCGAAGAGTTTGAACAACTTCATCAACTTCCCGACCCAATTCCTGGTGAAGATTTGCATTATAAACCATTTGAGGAATTATATGGAACACCAACAACAGAGAAACACAGACCTTCCTTAAAGAATTCCAAGCCGACAACATCAAAAACTGGTAAGAAAATAATAAAAAAATTAAAACATACTATGCCATTTTGTCCATCTGCTGCCCGTGCAAAAAATGTTGGCATTACAGTATTTTGTGTTGAGTGCGAAAAGCCACGTTTATTATTTAGCTTAAAAAAGCTAACCAACAAGGATCGAGAAAAACTTAAAAGATTCCTGGACACGATTTTGTATACATGTGGGATGTCTTTTCATAATACTTGTGATCTGTCGCTAGTAGTCACAACAGAACAGACTGATATACAGATCATTAACTCGGATGCTACTAACAACAGTTCGACCAATCCTAATGATACAGACGATGATAATATAGAGCCTGATTATGATGACAATGATGACCAAAATAACAATGATTATGACGATGAGCAGGAGGAGTTCAGTGAATCTGCAGAATCAGATAACAGTGATGGGGATGAAGAGATTAATGTGGAAGATCCAATTAGAATGCTTTTCGAAAGAGTTTTTGTAAATGACTCGTGGACATGTGTATTACCAATTGAAAATCCATATTACTCAGCGGGTATATATCCTGATATATGCTATAATTGCGGTGGTGCTGAAGATTTGAAGACAACAAAAGGTGAACTACCTCTCTGTGTTAGATGTGATGGTGTCACTACACCAAAAAAGCGGCTTAAATGGAAACAAGGCAGCAAGAAAAAGGGAAACAATGCTGTAAGAAAAAAAAATCGATATGAATAGTCAGGTAAGAAAAAAAGTCAAATACAACTGAACAGATAAAACTTAATAAAAAATAACAACTTCTGTTTTATTTTGTTGAGGTGGCAATTTTACTAAATCAGTCTTAATTCACTAACATTCACCGACAGCACATTTAGCTAAGTATGTCAGAAATAAAACTTTTTGGATTTTCTTGGCTTAATCATTTAAGAAATGATTTTAGTCAAAATTTACTCGATGATTTATAAAGCAGAATACGTATTATTAATATTCGAAAAAAAACAAAAAAAAATATTCGTGTAACTTGACCATCAATATATTATTAAATAAAGGTCAAATAGCGTAATATTTGAAAAAAAAGCATATCAAACCATAGCTACAGTATTATACGCTATTAGCTTTTGGAGTTTCTAAATACGTTAGCTTAAATTTTAGCTTTTAGAAATCAGAACAGTCACATACATACTTATATTTGTAATATTTGTCGAAGCCTACGCTTTAGGGTTTGGAAGCGGTTTAGTGTATAATAAACTATATATTATATTTAGTCAACTAATTAGTTGACTAAACCGACTTCAAAGCTACTACACTTACCTATCTGCACTGGACGTTTATAAATTCAATATAGTGAACTCTTTATATAATGAACTAACGGTTTTTGGAAGAATAAAAAAGTTC